GAAATTAAAAATAGCCCAGGATTCAAAACATAAATTTAAATGAATAACAATTATTTATGATCCGGTTTGTCATTAACTTTATGTATAAAATTAATTTAATTCAAGAGTAAGGTAAAGCTACGAGCAAGCTATAAAAGGATTTCAGCAGTATAAAGCTGGAAAAGGATTTTATTTTGATTGCTATTAAGACATTATAGAAATGTAAGACTAGAGTAAAAAAATTATTCTAACAAAAAGTAAAAAAAAGCAGAAAAAATTAACTCTTAAAATGAAATAGTCTTCTAATTAACAGACCTCCTATTTTGTGATCACGTAGTCTTTTTGTTTAAACACTAATCGTTTTTTGAAAGAAAAAAAGGTTTGTTGGCGAAGCTTCTGAGAAATAGTTTCATTTAAAAGTAGTTGATCAAACTGTCACTCTCGAGAAATTCAGAGGCTTTTGTAAAATTAATTAAAATAGTCAATTTTCTCATTAAATGAAAGAATTCTGTTGTAAAACTACTGGAATAGTATTAATATTCTTACTCTCCTAGCTTTACCTTTTACAATGGAATAATATAATATTACACTAAGTTACCAGTTACAAGAAATTTATTACTAAAGGGGAAGACAGTTGTGAAATTGTACAATAAATGAAGCATTGAAGAAATATCGTAAAAAAATCAGTCGTAATTTATCGAGATGTTTGTAATTCCAGATCCTCTTTTTAATATATATAACTTTTTAAAATACTTCAACTTTTTAAAATGCTTTAAATGACATTTTCGAAAGAATTTTTCTTCCTCTTTTCCTTTATTATTTAGAAAGAAGAACACAAAGCAAATGAGATGAAAAATCAATAATAGGACAAAAACTGGAATTTAAAAATACGTAACAAGTTTTTCACTGTTTTGATACAAATTTGAAATAGCAAAAATAAGCAATTTTTTAAAATTGCTTAGATAACAAAATATCTAGCATTAAAGCATCTACACAACTGTCTCCATTAAAAAAAATACTCCAGAAATAAAATTAAATCAATAGTTTATATTCTACAGTTTTTTATAATATTTATAGAATCTAAATAACCAATTTTACTTTCGTAGCTTTTCATATGATTAATAATTTCATCGGGAAGACTCAATATTGTTTTTAAGTGTATTCAGCTTTTACTCAAAAATTTTAATTGTTAGAAACAAGTTATCAGATGCTTACACATTGGCTGCTTATTATTTATCTAAAATCAATATTATAACTAGCAATACAACATAACTATCAAAATCCTGATTCCGTTAAAAAATGGATGAAATATTTATATTATTATTGCAGTTCTTAATTAAAATTGTGTAAAAAAAACTTTTTAAAATTGTTTCTTTTATTTATTCTATAAGTATCTCAGTTTATAACAATTCGGTAAGAGAATGCGTGTCTTTGAATTGTAAAAATTGATTCATGTATTTAATAGCTGCGGCGCAGTAGAATGTCATATTAGTCTTCCTGTGTTGAATGAATGAAATATTGAAATATCCATTAATGAAATATTGAATCTTATGTTGCGAAAAAAGAAGCACGTGAAAATCAACTTATAATAACTAGGTAACCGTGTTGAAATAGGATACAAATAATAATTTTTGATATGCATCTTAATACTGAATACTGTCTGCTACTCTAGGTCAATTTTGATATTCACGAACCGAAACTAATTTCATTTTAAATTGAGTTATTAAAAATGATCAAATCGAAACATGAAATGGGCTAACTGATTTTATTTGAATAAACTAGTTAAGTTTATTAGAAGCTCAGATTTGAGGCAAAGGGGGTTAAATATGAATGTTATTGAATCATTTCATAGCTGGAAATCACAAACTCGTAAGATTAATTGAAGACTGACTCAAATCAGAGTTAAAATGCTTATTGGAATGAATATTTTAATTATTCGAATCAAAGATTTAGCATTTTATAATTTCAATATTTCAACCAATCTTTAAACTCAATGCATAGTTCCTTAACAGATATCGCCACCAATCATATACACGTTAATAAAAACCTGTTAAAATGCATAAATGCTTTTCAAATATTGAATCTAGATATGAAACATTTAGATCCAATAAAATCCGATAAAACATTCAATTTAAATATAATATCTTAAACAAAAATTGTATGCCGAGGAATTTAATTTTAGAAAACAAAACTTACCAGAACTCAGTTTGATTATTTATGGTACTTATTTAATGGTAAAATAATTAAAATAGATAATTTGAAATTTTTTTTCTTCAAATTTTAAAATTGAACATTAATTAAATAGTTGACTATTAATTTAAAAAGGTTAAGCACTCACTTTGATGAAAACTAATATTTAAATTCATATATTTGCCAGTAATTTTTTAATTAATCATTTAATTAAAACAAACTAAATTCAATTCATTAAAAATGTCGAAAAGATAAAAATGAGAAAACTGATTCAAAGACATTTTTTTTGTATGCACATATTTCGATTTTCAATATTAAGATATATATTTTAAGAAATATATTTCAGCACAAATATCAATTATTTAAAATAAAAAATAGCTATTTTATAATAGTGAAATAAAAAAAAATTTAACTGATCTTTGCTATTAATCTTTAGATTAATATAGATAAATTGAGTCAAGTATTATACTATTAAAGGAATTAAAGAAATAAATGCCTTAGTTAGATAAGAAATGAATTTACCCTTAACAACCATCATTGACATTATGTAACTGGATCGAATGTTGCCATCTTTTTATATTATTTAGATTCACTTATTATTGTCCATTCAATAATATTTAATTATACAATTTTCATTATTTTATATAATTAATATTTCAATTCGCATAATAATTATAATTTAGTTTTACAAATTAAATCTTTACTTTAAAAAATTTGTGTCCACAGTTGAACTTGAAGGGGAGTAAACTTGACCACTAAGGGTTAATACATTATAATAATGTGTAATAAAAGGGAGGCGTTTGGAACCATTAGTAAAAATCGGTTGCGGAATGGTTACAGTGAAGTTCCGGTTATAGTGAACCGAAATTTCGGTCCACTGAAGGTTCACAATAGCGGGGTTTGACTGTACTATGTTATGGGACTCAAGATATTGACTTGCATAAAAAATTTACCCATTCTAAAAAAAGGTTGACAAATTTATGGTAGAGTAGGGAAAATGTGAGAAGTGTCATAATTAAAATGAAGATTTTACACTGTTGCTTAATATATAAGACCCATAAATATAAGTTTAACATATGATAATAGCATTTATAGATAAAAAGACGCTTTGACTTACCCTACGGGATTCGGAACCTGCTGCAGTAGAGGTTGCAGCAATATAGGTTCGCTCAATTGAGTTTTCTGCACTTGAGGTTGCGGCGATGGTGGTTGCTGCAACGAAAATCGGTTGCGGAAAAACAAAATGACAAAATGAACATTCATTAACTAATTGAGACTATTTATCTTATAAAAAGAAAGTTTCATGTAAAAAAAAAATTTTTTTTCAATAAAGAAAAAAAAACATTTTTCAGTTTAAAGAAAAATTTGGATTTTATCTTTACGTATCTAACATTGCATATACATCAGATATATATCAGGTAGCTACTAAAAAACAAGAAAAACATCGTTAATTATGTTATATTATTTCATTCATTACTATTTAATTTATTATTACATTAATTATTATTTCATTTGTTATCATTTTCTTACGCTGAACTGAATGAAATTAAATCAATCCATTTGATCAATAAGATGAATAATTCAGAAATTATTTGATTTTTTNGAGTGCACAAAATAATTTTATTTAGGGGGACAAAAAACTTATAACTGCTGAAGTGTTATTTCTTTTGTTGGCTAAATTCGACGATATATCATATAAATCCGAGGATTGGATAAATTAGACGATCTATTGTATAAATTAGAATATTTTTTACATAAGGTATTATATTAATATACAAGTATTATTATAACTAGGTCAAATTATTAGACACACTGTAGTTTTTTATAAATTACATGTGCGGCACGAGTTTATATGCAATACGTTTGTATTCAAACATGCATGTAATGGGTTTTTATTCAGGAGACTTTTTATATGCTTCCTATTTGTATTTATTTTTAACGTATTGCATTACAATGTTGAACAATGGATACACGAACGGAAACAAGTTCAAACTGGTTTCAGTCACATAATTTTTCTAGGGATAATAATTTGGACAAGGACTGTAATTCAGAATAAAGAGCTACTGTAGCTCTTTATTGTTCAATAACAATCTCACACTCTTAAACCCTTAATCTCTTACAACCAACTACAGTCAAGTTTTTACCATTTATTAAAAATTTGATAAGTAATAAATATGCTTTAATAAGTAATAAATATGCATAAAAAGAAATATGCTTTTCCTCTGAACTTTGAAAAAATACTTATTACTCATTCTCAAGTATGAAATTGAAATTTAAAAAAGTTCTTTTTAACTTTATCTTTTTAAAATTAAGAAATCAAATAAATCCTCGAAAATACGCTCTATAACAAAAAAATCGACGCACCAAGAAGGAATTGTCCGATTAAAACGAAAATTCGTGGATAGGAAGACAATGTACAGAATAGTAAATGATTAAAATTTCAGAACAATTGAATAATTTATTGAAGAGTTACAGTAACAAGTTCAATAAGGTGTTGACCCACATCTAGCCTGGATACAAGCTGCTTCAAGGTTTGGCATAGGCCGATAAAGCTCCCGGGTGGTCTCTTGCGGTATTTCTCTGTGGTGTCTCTTGTGGTAATCACTTAATATCACTTAATGTGAATCATGATGTGTGATTTATAAAATACCTTAATATGAATTCTGATGAGTAATTTGCAAATCACTTTAAAGTAATATTCGATATGTGATTCATTAATCACTTTCAGTTAAACCGCAACTCGTAGAACATTTTATATGAATTTCAATCCGTAAATCAAGAATCAGTCATCTTACTGTATGAATTAAACACAATCACCCTGTCCGTCGTAGGTAATGAATATATATTAAAAATTAATTAAACAAAAAATAATTGATCATAGTATTTTAAAATGCTCCTACTTGTGGAGAATCCTCTTCAATTTCCACCTCTTACTGGCCTCTTCGTCTTTCAATTATTGCATAGCGGTTGCTATGTCTTTTACAAGAGCTGTAAAAGAAGGTATCAATGAAAGATGACATTAAATAAAAAAAATTATTGCGTACCATTTGCTCATATTTAAGTTGTAATTATGATCAAATGAAGGAGACATTCATTTACTATTACATCTAATACAGTAGATTGAAGATGCTATAAAATGCACAAAAAGATAAATTGTTAAATTTGCGAACAGTAAGCCTTTTTTCTACAAGGTGAACCTTTTTATCTGATTTTTTTTACTTTGGCTTAGCATATAGCATGTGTTTTTTCTCCTTTTAGGCAAAGGTAAAGAATGAATTGTATAAAACTCAAACTACATTTTAACACCACTAAACTTTTCACATAACTTTATTATATTTTTATATTTTTAAATAGTACGAAACGTATGCTAGATTTAATTTGGATAATTTACATTAATAGCCACTGCCTAATTGCTGGGTGAATCTTAGAATCCTTTTTGAAATCTCGCCAAATTAGGTTTGTGGTAGATCTGGTTCATCAGAGTAAAGGTAAGTTATTTTTTTATTTTAATTTATTAAAAATATTTTAATGAATTTGAATAATAAAAAAGCGATTTTAATTCAAGTAATAATCGCCCCCCTTGGCGAGATTTCAAAAAAATCATCCAAGGGGTGGGCAACCCTGACTGGGTAAATGACAGGCCAAAAGTAGAGAAAATTGTCTCCTCCCTAATGTCTGTTGTAAAAGTCTTCGTATGTGGTAGCTAAATTTAGTTACTTCCTTCTTTAAACTCGAAAAAGAAATACCGCAGCAAAAACAGAAATTAAATAAAATAAAAAATAAATGATTACTGGTAATACGTTTTAAAGTACGGATTAAGCTTAAAAAATAAAACTTGAACTATCTCGAGTATTATATTTTCTTACGACTAATATGTACGACTCATACAAATATTTTGCTTGGAAAAGATAAATGCTAATTAAATGATATTTGAAAACCAATATACACCCCGAAATTATCATGCTCCTCTTTTACAAGTTTCTTTTCGTATCATTTTCTTACGCTGAACTGAATGAAATTAAATCAATCC